TCTTTCTCCCTCCATTTTCCTCTTGATTAGTCTTAGATGAACATATGATCACGCTGGGTACTAAATTAAGCTAAACATACTTATCCATATATGCAGGCAACATGAGAACGTGGTTCTCTGCAAGCATCTACCCACATGTCTTTGCTGTTCTTTGGGTGGTCTTCTACATGTCTTGGAAATTATAACAGGGAATGTAAAACTCATGGATTCGTGCATTTTAAAAATAGGTGTGAATATGCTGAAGTTCAGTTTTTCCTGTTGTGTTCCCCTATTACAATGCCTTAACACAGCCACTGCAGAAGTGACTGCCGTGTATAATCACCCAGCCTTAACCACCCAGCTTGGCCACCAGCAGCAATAGAGCTGAGATATGTTGAGCTACACGTTCCATTCTATACTGCAGTGAAGAACTTACCTACAAGGAACATTCAGAGGTGCCATCTTGTGGATGATGAAAAAAATACAAATAAGTAAAAAATAGCAGTATTTCACTTTTAATATAGTAAATATACAGTAGCTTTGAATTACAAGATCACTTTCCAATGAAATTATTAGCAAAAATATCCACAAAAAAGTTCAAATAAATAAGAAGACATGATTACCAACATCAAAAGCAGGGCTGCAAATTCTCAGTTTTTCCAGATAGTGTGGTCTGCTTAATTATATTTTCAGAAGAAAACCCACTAATGCAAATGGGAGCAACAAAGGCGCAATACCTTTAAAATAAGGGAAAAAATAGTACATTATAAGCAATTTCATACTGTAGAAATGTCAATTATAATATCAGCTCCAAAAAAGTTACCACACACTGACTGAAAAAACTCTTGTCAAAATACTCTCAAACTTCTAACAAGATCCTTTAAATAGCAAATACAAGATAAAAGTTACCTCAAACAACAATAAATGGAACACAGAAAGGGCACAAATAATAATGGGATTACAGCATAATGAAGCAGTCTGGACTTAAACAAGACAGTTTAGTCCAATGAAATGAGCCTGAGCATCCTGTGCAGCATTATACCTCTCTGCCATTGCCTTGGGCATGGCTCAGCAGCAGAAAGCAGAGGGGCACTGGCAGCACACATGGGCAGGGCTGAGACCTACGGTCACAGCATCCTGGGAGAGGGGCATCGGTGGGACAGGAGAGCTCCCTATTTCTGGCAACCTGTTTGCTCCAAACTCAGCTTTCTCAGAACCAATACTGCTAAGCCTTTTTGCCTCTGTGAGAAGACTGTCACCTCATGACTCTGAATTCGTACCAGCAAACATCATCTCTCATATGGAAAGAAAAATACACTCCAGCTTATCAGCCTTAACAAGTGGCCACACCATGATTTAGGACACTGAACCATCAGCAGTGACTGATTTGAGTCTTCCTTGCCAAGGCTCTTCCACTTGAGGAAGATGTGAAGCCCCTGTTCCCAGAATGATCCACACTGCTCCCAGAACGATAACCCCTTTTCAGAGAATACCTCTGAGTAACTGCAGAAGCTCTGTACCCGTACTGCCCACAGAATGAGGATCTGGAGGCACCATGCAGAAGCTTCAGAACTCCTGTATACAACTGAAAGCTACCACAAGGTGTGAGGGGGGGCAAGACTGACCACAGTATTTCACTGAAGAGATGCAAGTCATGGAGAAAAACGAAACATGTCAAGAGAGAAGCAGTATTGTTTTTAAACTCTGCATGTTATGCATTAAAAACACAATATAGCATTACTAAGGAAAACAGTTTGTAAATATTGGAGTAAAATTCTGTTTCTTCACATCTTTGTAACAGGGTAATTTAATTGAAAACAACAGAGTTGTTCAAAGTTTACACTAGTATAACTGAAGTAGAATCTGGCTATTTCTTTAAAATGCAACCTGAGCATGTTTGTTCTGTAGGTAGGACTGCAGAACATTAAACATTTAAATTATCTAGAAAAAAAATAAATCACTCTGTTTAAATATCTCACATCACAGTAAACTTGTTCTTCAAGAAGCATCATCAATGCTAGGCTTAGAAACACATACAATAATATTGCCAAACACAGTGAAAAAAATATAAATAGCCACACAAACACTGGGCTGTGGAATTATTTTAATTCCAAACTGAATGTATTTGATGGAATAAACTTTTCTGCAATATTCAGAAGTGCTTCTAAAGACAATAGACATCGATACAAAATGAAGGAAACCATGGTCCTCTGCATAAAAGGAGTTCTTTTTATTTATAGGTGCAGAAGATAGTCAAGTTAAAACGGAAGCAAAAGTGCTGCAGGATGAAATCCAACCCTTGCAGGTCTGCTCAGACTAAGAGCAGATTTCTAAATTTCTAACTTCCTCTTCTGTATGTGAACAAAGAAGACTGTGTAAGAAGTATCAAATCAATGAATAAAAATTAGACTTTTGTCTAATGTGAGACAAACTTACTTGGCCATTCACAGCCAGATTTTAATGATGAACAAATACTCAGACATATTTTAAGTGCCATCACTATCTCCATCTACTATTTAGTCTCCAATAACAGACTGATGCCATCAGATCACAAGAACTACAGTAAACCAAAACTTTCCTAGGTCTGTGTGGAAAAACTTTTCTCAGTGCCAATCACCTTTGCCCTGGTCAAAGCTGGCCAAAATATTATTTATTTATTCTTTAAGAAGTGATATGTGAAATGTGCCTGTATCTACATACCCTCCTTATTACCTAGGAAAGCCTCAATATAGAGTAACATTTCAGAGAAAAATTTATCATACACTAATATTCAGTGCTATAATAACATGCTAAATTAATTACTTCATCTAAGTATGAATTTGTTTTAAAAACCTGCTATTCTGATTATTGACTTGATCCTGCTCACCTTGCTTTTGGTGCTTGTGCTAGTGTACTAAGCCAGTGTACTAAAATTGTGCACTAAAATAGTGCTTATTGGCAAAAGCAGTCCTACTAACTTTCACTACTATTAATGTGAATCAGGAAAGCTTGACTAATAAAGGCCCAGAGCTTGAAATTCCAGCAGTGGATGCAAGAACCTTTCAGCTAAAAAAAGCCTAACTACATGATGAGTCTGGAACAAAACAGAAGGATAAAATAGCAACAATAGAATGTGCTGGTCCTCTGCAGTTGCTGGTGTTGAATGCCATCCTCTAAGTTTCACCACATCTCTGACACAGCCAATTTATCTAATCTTTGAGCATGTCAGATTAAGTTTCACTTTAATTGCATAGAGCTGAATGTACATGCAACTACAATTCTTTTTAACTGGAACTTCACAAATACTGAATATGGAAATATAATACTGTGCATTACCTTTGTTTCCTTTATCCATTTAAAATGTCACATTTGGTCTCCAGTAGGCTAGGAAAAAAAACACTAAAAATATTTCTTAGACTATTCCTGAGCAATGTTTTTATGTACTGTAAAATACCCTCATATATTACTACATTTATTAATACTCTCACATTTTAAACTACATATAAATCCATGCTTCGAAATTATACAAAGCTGAAGATCTGGTAGGCACAATGAAAGAATAGAAACAGCAAAGCATCTTAAAATCAAGATGAGATCAACAAGAGAAGTGCAATTTAACTATATACATCATGTACTCTTTAGTACTTGCTACTTTTTCATTTTCTATCACAATCTGAAGAATCCACTTGTAAAATCTGGTCCATCAGACCTCAGCTCACTTCTTATCAGTTCACTGTGACTAGTGGCTGAGGTTGAAGTGAATGCTGCTCAGTATTTAATTTTAAAATGAAGATACAAAACATCCTCTAGAATTTAATCTCTAACAAGATCATGTCCCCAGTTGCTGGGAGTGACTTGAAATTTTAACAGGTGAACTGACACTTGGATACTCACTGAACCATCCTTCATGTTCTCTTGTATCTCATAGACACAAGAGAAAACAGAGGGTCTGAGGACAGGAGCCAAGCCTGGTTGTACAATTTCTTTCTGCAGAGTATTACCCCATGTCACTTCACTAAACCTGGAAACAACACGTCAAGCTAACTGAAGTAGACTGGACCATGGGATAAATAATTATCAGGGTGACTGAAAATAGGTATCTTCTGTATCAAAATATATCTTTACTTGAACTTACAATACCCTTTAAATTCATTCCCTAAGAGTCTATTTTTTAATGTTTTGAGAGGCTACCAGATTCTGCAGTCTCTAGTTTTGCAGTAGTTATAGTTTCCCTCATTTTGCATGAGTTATATATATATATATCTCCATGTGCATTTTGAAATTTGCTCATTTCCTCCAAATGACCAAAAAGCATCAAGGCTCACAAAGTGAAATTCAAGGAAAAGCTGTCTGTAAACACAGTGAAGATTTCTGGGTATAAAAATACACATTCTGTTGTCTTAACCTGTCACATTGAAGCCATCTGCTCCATAATAATTTTTTGTCCTAAAAAATAATCCTTTCTGCATTAAAATATTTCAAAACATTATCTCCTTTCTTCTTGCTATAAAAAAAAATCTAATTCATAAAAAAATCCAATTCATCATCTTCCATGAAGAATCAGAGTTTCACTTTGCATAGATAAGCATGCTCCATTATTATATAAAACAGTTGAGCCCCCCATCAAACCTGCTTCACATCTGTTCAAGAAAAAGAGCCGAGAACCTCTTCTGTCCAACACACCAAGGTAAGCATTGGAAACACTACAGAATTCAATGGACTTCAACTGGTGCAAGTAAGAGGACATGTTATAATTCTATATCTTTCTAAACGTTCACACTCTGCTATTGTTATCTTCCTTGAGCAATTGTAAATATTTTTGAGGAAAGACTGATGGAAGACACTTGCCTTCAGGGAAAAGATTTCCTGCTGGCCTTGCTGGCTTAAGATCAAATGTGTTGAAATGAACAGTGCTGACTTAGAACCATGTATCAAGAACATATTTCCTCAGGATCTTCCTACGAAGAAAATATGACCCTTCTGTACTGGCCACATGCCTTCTAGCAGTCAAGAAGCATCAACGTTTACTAATAAATTTTTCTTCATTTAAATTTGCATGTTTGCTTCGTGCCGTTTGTTTTTATTTTCATGTCCCCTGTTGGTTTTTTAGAAGGAACATAATTGTCGGCATTGCCATTTTTCTTTGGATTTGTACATGTGTAGGTTTTCAAGCCTTTGAGGGGAGCAGCTGCAGCAGGAAATGCTGGGGTTTGCTTAGGGGGTCTGATATTACCAACACTTTGAATTTTAGAACTGTTCTCGGAAGGCTGCACATTGAGAAGCTGTTGCTTTGCAGCTGGTTTTTTTTTCAGTTCACTCCTTACTTCACCAGATTGTCTCTGAGAAGACACCACACATCCCATTCTCTCAGAAAGTTTCAGGTGACTTGGATGAGAATATAACTGGCGACTTCCTTCACAGTATGAATCTCCCCTGTGGCCTAAATAGCTTCTGGGAAGCTTTGTAGCACTTTCCTGGGGAGCCACTTGCTTGTTGGGCAGAGGGCTGAGCAATGCTTTGCCTTTGCCAGGGCTTTTTAGGGTACGGGAGGAGCTGGGAGTGGTCTGGGGCCTGGCTTTGGCTGCCTTTCCTTTCTCATTCTGTACAGTCTGTATCTGCAGCCACTCCAGCTCCAAAAGGCGGTCAATGTACTTCTCAAGAAATCCCCTTGGCTTTGGTCGAAATTCAGTTTTACCCTCCACATTAACAAAGATGGACAGTTGCTTCAAGTCCCATGAGTTGAAAGGGGGTGGGAGGAAATCTGGGTAGTAATATTCTGATTCTTTAAAACCCGTATCAGGGACATGTTCCAAACAAAGTGGATCAATTTCTTCAGCTCTGAGAATGAGTTCTGGTGGTGTGCATGGAGACGGGGGCATGGGAATCCTTTCTGAATCAGAGAGATCACTGGCACTATCATCTTCAGCATCTTCTTTAATAATTTGTACTGATTCAAAATCAAGAAACATTTCATCTGCAGATGCTTCTTGCCATTTAGAAGAGCACGGACCAGCTTCAGCAACATGTTCTTTGTGATTCCTTTCCAACTGTTCTTTTTCCCTGCAATAAAAACGTTGCACTGGGACTTCTTTAACCCTACCAAAGCTGCCTTGTGTGCTGCCCTTTGTGCTAGGAGGGATCCTATGCAGAAAAGATTCATTTTGCCTTCTTTCTGGAACACTCCTCTTTGGCCCTTGTATTTTGTGCAGTGATGTGCAAACACTCGTGATCCTAAATAAAAAGAAAGATCGTATCCTGTTAGAATGATTAATGTCTGCAGAACATCAGTTTACAAAGGCCTTGCTACACCCTTCCAGGACAAGGATCTACATGAATGAACCAAAATTGGCACAGAAATTTGGCAATGAGGTAAAATCACTATTTTCTGGCAGAGATAGCGCTGCCTACTTCCTTTTTTATTTTATTTTTTTTCCTTTATTTTATTCTGATTTTGCCTGAGAACTCACTAAAGCAGGACAGCAGGTTTCCATAACTTAAATTTGTTGTCCTCATAAGTGCTGAATTCTGGATCCAGTGAAGTCAAAGGCAAAACACAGAAGCCATGATTTCATCACAAGCATTTTATGTACCAATTTGAAATGACTACAAATTAAGCAGGCAAACTTAACATAAAATGACCTTTTTGAGTGAGTATTGTCATCCAGATGGTTTCTTTCCTTCTTAAAAATACTTGTTTGGTTACCATCTTGAGTGTCATGGCAAATCTGAAAAGATACAAAAGTACGTGATGTTATTAAGAAGCTGACATTAAAAAGTACCTTTTTTCTGTAAACAAACAAAACTCAGAATTATTTACCTTTTCAATGGCACTTGATACATTTTTGCCTAATCTTCCAGATGGTTTCACATGAGAAATTGATTTATTTAGTCCTTTGGTGTTCAGATGGCTTTTTCCATGACTGTAACTAGCAAAGATTACACAGAATATCACATATAAATAGCAATGTATGTAATCAGCAGAATAGAAATACAATAGAAGTTTAAAGTGCAACTCAGCTGAAAAAAAGAGAGAGAGCTGATTGCAACTATTCTTAAAGTTCATCAGAAATATGCCATAGTCTTTTTTTATTTTTTGAAACAGTACTAGATTTTTAATATTACTAATGCAAAAGTAAACAATTCAGTCAGAAGATATAGAAATAGAACTCAGCCCTTATAAGGATTCCTCTATCAAAGCATCCCAAAGTTACTTTGGGGATATTAAATAGTAAATATTAGAGACTACATATTTAATTACTTATTTTTATAGTGGCTGGTACATGGTCCTACTGCAATTTAAGAAAATTAATTATAAGATGCAGTATGAATGCATTGCAAGCCAAATCTGGCTTGCTTTTCTCATTTGCATATTCTCAACAAAATTTAATTATTCCTATGAATTTAAAGAGTGAAAGTGAGCAGGGAGCATACAGTCTATTATTAATACAAACTATTTCACAACAAAGGCACAAAGACAATTCAAGATTTCATTTTATAATGGGGTTGTGGAATATTAGCAGGAGAAAAACTCATATGCAAGCAAAAGGAATGGCATTACTGATCAGGACAGCTTAAAACTAAAACACACGTTTCTTCAATTAAATCAGATACATTTCTATGTAAGCACGTGGAATCATTAAAATCAACACAATCTGTAAGAATCAGAAAACAGTATTAATTTTAAAAAGGAAAGCTTTAAAATGTCATTTTAGGACAGGAATAAGCAAACTGCTCTCCTGGTCTAATCTAATTTGACTGCAGTTCAGTTAATTTGTCAGGCTGTACATCTTGTTCACAGTTTTACTGTCAGTATAGTCAGACTTTGTTTTAAAAAACATGATTTCACCAATTCAAGAGCTTATAAAAGAACGAAAATAAGTCTTGTGCCTCCAGCACTGATGCAGTCACCTCTGTCACTTTGTGACCTGCACAGTCACACTGCACAATTGCTTCTGCTGCTGTGGATCAGAGAAGAGGATGGACCACCTAAACAGTACAGCCGGGCACATATTAACTAACCTACAGTATTTAGAGATTTCTGTAATTAGAGAGAGAGAGAAAATAACTTCCTTACTTTACCATTCCTTTGTGGTTTTCATTGATTTGGCTTTCCTTTTTCTGTGCCTCTCTGTGCAGTAATAAGGGATATTCTTGAATGCCTGGTCCCATTACTACTCTTTTTAAAGGGTATCTGCACCTTTACTTTTATATAATCTTCAAACGACTCCAGTCTTTTGGGTTCATGAGACACAGCGTATCAAATGCAAACATCACCACGTCCTAGAGATGCAGTAAACAAACACCATGCCATTCCTCCCGACGTGACTTATTTTTAAAGCAGTAAGATAAGAATAACGAGCTCCCAAACTGTACTGGCAAACACCCTCCCCACCCCCCGCGCCCGCTTAATGGGAACCAGCCCCAGGAAGAGCCTTACTCTTGGGGTCCTTGCCGAGCTGTCATCACCCCGG